AACGTATAATTAAAAAACGAAGTACTATTAAACGATCAACACAATGTCCTGTGTATAATGAATGCTTTACATTCCATATACCTGATAATGATTTACAAAATATTCATTTTGATATAATACTTTTTGATTATGATTCTCATATGAAACATGAACCAATTGGTACATTTTCAATTGGAAATAATACTAATGAAATTAATCAACATTGGAATGATGTATGTCATCGACAAATAACAAAACAAATAGCTCAATGGTATCAATTAAAACCATTTAATATATTGAATTATTAATAAATACAACAAAAAAAAAAAAAAATCAGTAGTTGTCTTTTTATGTATGTCACATACATATAGAAAAAAAAGAATTGCGAAATATGATTATCTAATATTCAATTTTATTGATTTTGTTGTTGTCAGTATCGTCTGATTATTTAATAAATAAAGATTAAAAAAAAATAATTGATTCTTTTGTTTGTATTTTTATTGATCAACAAAAAGAAAAAAAAAATTCCCTTAGAGAACTATTCATTACAAGATAAAGATAAACTAGAATTGCAGGCCTTTTTTTTTTTTTTTGTATTTCTGATTATGATGTTGCTTGTCTTTTGATGACGCGTAAAAGAATTTTTGAAAAGACCAATTGCCAATTTATTAAAACGGAAGGATTTTCGCTTCATTTCCGGACTAACAGATTGTTGTCAGCATTCTATATTTTTTATTGAGTATATTTTTAAAAATATAATAAGCAGACAAAAATAGGAATCTTTCATGTTCTACTTTATATTACAAATTTTATATATTGAAAAAAATCGTTTAATTTTTTTCTTTACTAACAGAAAAAGAAAAGTTGATATTTCTTTATGAGTATAGTATTATAAAGCCTTGAAGCGTATGATCCGATTACTTTTACGATTATATTTGATTTAAAAGAATGTAAAATGATATAATGCAGATAGATTTATATTGATATTCATATGTAAATGCTTATAGCTCAATTTGAAGATCTAACGATCATTAAGTTTTGAAAAAATAAAACTTCTATTGATTGATAAATATAATTTGTTATAAATCCCAAAATAATGATGTTGAGATTTAATAGTCAATGTAGAAGATCTACTTTTATAAATTAAATAATATACATGCTTGCTGAACTACTATGAATGTTTCAAAAAATCTCATCTAATTTTTTCTTCTTTGGCGATATTATATGAATCAACTTACAAAATATTTATCTTACTATATTCAAAGGATGAAGAAGTATTATTAAATGATTGTTTTATTCACTGTAAGTATTTTTATATAGACTTATATATTATAACGTGATGCTTTTTTAGCAGAATTATTAAATAATTTTTACATGAATTGATACATTCGACATAAGTCTGTTTTTAATGATGTAAAACTTCATTTATTCATTTGTTCAATTCTAGAATGAATATAAAATTTACCACTGTTATTATATTATTTGACAGATGTAATAAGTTTTTAAGTTACTTTATTGATAAACAATGTTGATAAAGAACTCAACATCTAACTGATTTGTTTATGACGTATGAATATTTTTCGTACACAAATAACAAATATCAGAAAATCTTACTCAATAAATTAGTTATGATTTCAATAAAGTTTTTGTAAGATCGTACTTTTCGGACTGTATAACTAATTCTAGTATATAAAAATAATATGTCCTCAAAAATTAGTTGTAATAGTTTTTCTTTATGTCTATATCCAATGATATAAATCTTTCAAGAGAAAATGTTTTGACTGCAATGATATACTCATGTCATTACGCTTCATATGTCACTCAATGCCAAATAGATCAGACAAATCTACTATCTGTATAATTATATTCGCTATGTTTGATCGAATATAAAAATCTCTTCAAATTTCAATTTTTTTTTTTTGGTGTCAAATTGTTAGTGTATAAAATACGTCGAAGATTAAAATGTGACAAAAAGATTTATTGTTTTTTCAAATATCATTTCATTATTGATTGAAAATTAAAAATATTCAATTATAGAAATAAATTTGATCATAATTCGAATTTAACTAATCAAACTATGCATGATATCTGTTGATTTAATTTAAACTTCGGAAATTAATAATAAATATACAATAAAATTATTAATAAATCATTTTCAATGTTGAAAAATTTTTTTATATTGTATATTTTCTTGTCAAAGATTTATTTTTAGTAGATGTGTTTCGATCTTATTTCTTGACTAAAAAAGAAAACATAAAAAACGTATTAGTCAACCATATCATAATTGAAAAGAAAATCATTTTTCATATTCCGTCGGATGTAGATATTATTTAATACAATTAAAATAAGTTTATCAGAATAAAAATAAAATAAAACTTATTTCTGCATGATATGTAATAAAAAGTTAGAAAATGAATTTTTCTGCTTATTAAACTGTAAAATAGCCATTGTAAGACAAAACAATGTTCACTCGATCAATCATCGCCTTCTTTTTCTCCGTTCTACATTTGTCCTTTTAGAGCGCCACAATCATTCAACACAACAAATATATTCTCTTCTTTTTTTTTTTTTTTTTAGGCAAGTGTATATGTCCATTCGTCTTTTTCTTCTTGTTGTATATACATATCCTTAGAAATCAAATTAAAATTGCAGATTATTTTATAAGAGTGCAATTCTCTTGCGAATAAATCGTGGTACAATGTACACTGACACACACATACAAAACGAAGGGTTAAGTATATATATATGTACATAATGTTTTAGAAGAATATGTGAGCATTCTTTTTTCTTATTGTTTTTCTTTTATTGTGTTTGCCTTGTTTGACGTTCGTCGTCAACAACAGAAAGATCGTTGTTGTTGTTATTGTTTTCTTTTTTATTATTATAATTACTTTACCTACAACTACTACTTGAAATAAGTTTTTTTTTTAAATCATTAATACACAATGAACAATCGTTAGGTTAATCTTATTTTACAAATGGAAATATGTCCTTGACCTCGACCTTTTCTCTGATCATTATAACCTTTTTTCTAATAAAGAAAGAAAGAAATAACTTCATTTATACACAATAGGAATGACCATCAACACCTGTTCCTTAGATTTCTTTTTTTTTGTCTAATAAAAAGTAAATAATATAATGTTGAAAGACAAAAAAAAAGGATTTTTTTTTGTAAAAGAAAAAAAAAATCAAACAATGTTAAGATAGAGGCTTGTCGTACGTTGAAGTGAGAGTAAGACAATGATTATCGTTTGTATCAGTTTATCCTTTTTGTTTTGCTTTACATCAATAGTTTGTTAGTTTTCTTTTTTCCCCCTTGTATAAAACTAAAATGTCTATCAAATTGTTCAAAGAATATTCATTCGTTCTTTCATTGTTCCATATTCTTCTATTTACACGTCCATTGTTTTCCTTTCTACACTTTCTCAATTGACATGTTTTGTCCTTCGAATCGACTTGCGATTTTCACAATTTTTTTTCCTCGTCTCATTATATGATTTTCATGTGTTGTATGTGTGCAAACGAGGGAGAGAGAGAGAGAGAGAGATTGTGTATGTATGTCTACTGTCGTTTATTTGCACAATTGCGCTTGCTCGTTCTTATGCCTTATGTGTTCATATTCGTTTTATCGTTGAAAAAAAAATGAGAAAGAGAGAGAAAAAGGAAAAAAAGATGCAAAAAGACATCATATTTGTTGATTTTTTATTTCTCTCTTCTTTCTTTTTTTTTTAAATATGCTTCTTTGTTCTCGTTTTTTTGATAGAAAAAAAAAACAGAAATACAATTAAATAAAAGTGTGTGATATCGATATTAAACCATCATTTTTGTTTGGAATAGAGTGCGAGTATGGTAAAGTGTAAAGAGAGAAATGACGACTTATTTATTTGTTTACGAATGGAGCGCTACGAACGCCTACACTTAATGACATTCTCTGCAAAAAAAACTACGAAGGAGAATAGGGGAGAGATGAAAAATAGAATATGCTTGACTCGCCGCCATAGTGTGTGCGTTGTTCGGGGAAGGTTAGTTAAAGCACAAATGTATAGTTCTTTCTCTATCGTAGTGTGTGTCGACGTCTCTTTTTCCTTCTTTTTTTCTTTATTGCGAGCGTCCATGTTTGTCTTCATTGCTTGAATGGATGATGGTTGAATTCGTTGTTCGCATCATCCACATCCCGCATATATATATATATTATATATATACATCTTCAACTGAGCTAGACAAAATCTGAACATTGAACTATTTTCTTTTCTTTTCTTTTCTTTTTTCTATTGTATTGTTCATGTCTCAGATTTGTTCATATTTGTGACTGTTTATATTCATCAAAACCACAATATAAGATATTCTATAAAATGAGATATTATTAACGATATAGGATATTGACAATGCTATTAATTTCAGTTATTTATTCTTAATGAATATAAATTTGATATCATAGAATGATTGAAACATATGTTATTGCATAAACATTTTTACTAAAAAGAAGATTCTATAATACGCTGAAAGACGATGATGACGATAAAACATCAACCCTTCCTACAAACAAAAAAAATAGGAGAATGGAAAAAAACGGAATACAAGGGTAAGTCATGTTCGTCGAGTAAAAGAGAGAGTAGACACATGATAGCGATGAATAACCCTTTTCCGCTACGTCCAACACTGCCGGTAAACAAAACACATCAACATGCACAGGATGGAATTGCACGGAGACGAGAAGGTTCTGTTCCTCACCTGTCTCTTCGTCATTTACACTGTGTTCTTATTGTTGTTGTTATTCTTTTCTTTTTTTCCTTCTTCTTTTATTTCTTAAGTTATTCGATGAGTTGAATGTGTATTCAAGTGCACATGCTAGCCATTTTAAAAAGGTTTTTTTCTGTATATAAAAATCATCTGTTCAGTTTACCTTTCTCTTTTTTTGCTTTTGTCTTATTGAAACAATGAAACAAAAAAATAGACTTATTTCAACATTTTTGTTTTTTTAGATCTTTTTTTAAATCAATTAGATAACAAAAAAATCTATTATGATACCAAATATTGGACTTAAACGTAAATCATCATTAGATAACAGTAATGTAACAACAACTTATAATAATCCAATATCAACATTAACAAAACGATTTCGTGGTACTACTTATGATGGGTAAGTCGAATTTGAAAACAAAAAAGAAAAAGAAAGAAAATAGAAATGAAAGCTAAGGGCGTTACCCCCATGTCTTGCCCGCTGCCTTATTCGTTCGTTCAGTCATCCTACATTTCTTTTCTTTTTTTCTATGCGAATATGATGATTGTCGTGGTAACGTTCAATTGGCCGTCCTCGTCGCCGACGTTAGTAGTGGCGTTCCACCACTACCAGCAGATAGATATTTTCATCCCTTCTTTTTCTTTTTTTTTTCTTTTTTTTTTTTTCTTCTTTTCTCTCCTTGTTTCTCGTCCCACCTTCCGCCATTCATTGCTTCCGAACATTAAATCGAACCTCGCCACCGTTGTTACTTACTCGTCATATATACATCTTGTTTCGTTCTTCTTTTTTTTTTTTTTTTTCTTCTTTTCTTTATTATTCTGAACGAACAACAACTATCCCCATCTTTCAAAAAGAAAACAAATCAACTATTTCTAATGATATTCTTTTAGAAAAAACCATCAGAATGAATATCGAATGTCATTATTATCATCATCAACAACACTTAAATCTAAACACGATTCGAAAAAGATGACGATCTTAAATGGTGAACAAAATCATACATATAAACGATTAGATGAATCGAAAATGACACCGGTTATGCTTGCTGAATATCGTCGTCTTCAACATGAATTACAATGTCAAGAAGCATTACTTGTTCTTATGCAAAAACTTAAAACAAATCAAAGACTTATATCACAAACAAATAATACTAATACTACTAATACTAGTATAAAACAACGAACAACAACAACAACAATAACAACACCAACAACAGCAACTAAATTAAATCAACAATCTACAGATGTAAAAACTCCAATATTAGCAACTAAACAACAACAACAGGTAAATATTTTAATAGAACAAAAAAAAGTAAATAAATCTTTATGTTTTGTTTTTAAAGAATAATTCAAATCGATCAACACCAACAAAAACACCACATCCAAATCAATATACTGTTAATCGTTCGAATAATAATAATAGTCAAATAGCACAACAACAATCATCGAAAAATTCTCAATCAATACCTCAGGCTATTCGTCAATCAAATAATACTAATACGAATACTAATAACACATTACTACCACCAGCAACGGCTACTCGAATATCATCGACAGTGCCAACATCAGCAACAAAAAATTCGTCAAATACATCCACAGCAAGCAATTCATCAAAAAGTATATTTATAAATAAGATTATTTTTCAAAATAAAATAGTTAGTCGAGAAATTTGCTATTAATTTAAGATAATATGATCATGATGGTTTGTGTTTTTTTCTTCGTTTATGAAACTATCAAGATTTATTTATTTATTTTCTTTTTGTATATTTTAATTATATGGGAAAAGTTTTAAAATTTTCACTTTCATTTTATGTTAAAGTGAATACTGGAAAAGGATATAACCTTAATTTAAAGTAAATTTACTTTTCATTTAAAAAGAAAAAGCCAACACTTCATAAATATTAGAGTTTTTTAAAAGCGTATCGGTTTCCTTTTTTTTTTTTAATTGTTTATCTATAACAAATGTATTTGATCTGGATCAATTATGAAGTTTTTATGATCTTTTTCTTTCGAAATGAAATTTATGTTCATTTTAGATTTACTACGGAAGTTCTATAACTGATAAATCACTTACGCAGTCGAGACCATGTTCGTTATGTAGACATAAATGAATTGTGAATACCTCGAAAAGAGTTCATGTCCTTAGCTTATGGTTGCTGAGATACTGCATTTTTATGATATTTTTTAAATGAATGTCATGGTTAAAGCCTGTCGGGTTGATTCCGGACCTGATGGACTTTATCTCATACATTTCTCAGATCAGTCGTCTAAGAAATATGTAGAGTGAATTGGCCACTGAATAAAAAAAGTACCTCGTATCGTCGGGACGGTTATTCTATTCCGATTAAAAAGTTTCATTGAAGGTATCAAAGTGTATGGTTCGACTGAGTTCGAAAATTTTGAAGCCGATAGGCTCTAGCCATGGTAAGAAAAAAGCTGGTTTTCGACTGAAAACTTTACTTAGAGACAGACCCCAGCGACGGTAGTTATATGTAAAAGATTCAGAGATCTTGTTGTTGTTTCTATCCTAAGATGTGCTCAATGGCATATCTAGCGATTGGACGGTTGCCCAAGACTCAAACCAGTTTGACTAGTAAATTGCCCACAAAATAAAAAAATTGAGTATACCTATGGTAACTTGTCTATAAATGGACAGATTTAATATTCTTCTTTCAGGACAGAAGCAAATCAAGACATTTGAAACTTTTACAATGAACTGTTCCTGTTACGACATGTCGCTATATAAAGTTTGAAGTCGAAAATCAGTTTTTCTGCTAACATAACATTCATCAGAAACAAAAAGAATACTATAAAAATGCAATATCTCCGAAGCAATAGGAAGAATATCCCTACTTTTCGGTTTAGGATGCTGCCTAGTGGCAGATTCATTAGCTCGATATTTTTCCTACAACTAGTAATAGCTGTAGTTCTGAACAGAAGACTGACCTGATGTAGAGTTCTTGAACTTCCCATACACACTGACTAACCATGAGGGCAGATCGAAGCAATAAACTAAGGACACAATCTCAGCTCGAAAGCAATTTATCAATTGGAAGACTTTCCTCGTTAGATGAGAAAAACAAATTTTTTTTATTTAAATTTCTCATATAATTCTATTATTTAAAGAAATCATAATTTTATCTTTTAATAAATAAAATAATATTTTTTAGGTAATGGTGTTGCTGCTGAACAACATTTATTAAATGCTAAATTAGCATTACGCAAACAACTTGAACAAACATTATTACAAATTCCAACACCAAAACCGTCCACATGTGATTTAACATTCATTCCTGGTGTTAATGGTTGGTCTGAATTTCTTGCTTTTCTTGGCCTTGAACAAGCTCTTAATACATATACAGATATTGTTAATCGTCGTTCATATGAAATTTCAATGAATTTACCAAATGTATGTGTACAATGTGGTACTGATTGGTCTGTTACATGGCATGAAATGTCATCCAATAGTGATACAAATTCTGATGATAAAATTTTATGTGATCGTTGTACAAAAACATCACAAAAGAAATTACTTAAACAAGATCATTCAAATCGTTTACGACAAGCATTTATTAAAGCATTACAACAAGAAAAAGAACTTGATGCTAAATTTCAACAACAATCAACAACAACAACAACAACAACAACAACATCATCATCATCCACACCAACAACAAATACAGTTAAACAATCTTCATCTACTCAACAACAACATAGTAAACATGTACATCAAACAAATAAACATTCAAATAAACCATTATCAACAAAAACAAGTTCAAATCATCATCATCATCATCATCAACATAATAATAATAGTATAAATCATAATCATCATTCTCATTCTCATCATCATCATCATCATCATACAGGAAAAAGTAGTAGTAGTAGTAGTTCATCAAAAAATCATAATACAAATCCAACATCAATACCAACACTAAATCCAACATCAGCAGAAACATTAGCATCAACATTAGCTGCATTACAAACAAATGAACAAATGGAATTTTTTCAAAAACATTTTCTATCAAATATGCTTCCCTTTGCTGTTGCTAATCAAGCAGCAGCACTTGCAGCTAAAACAACACAACAACAACAACAACAACAAGCAGCATTAGCTGCATTACCAGCTATGGCTGCATCACTTATGCGTCAACAAAATCCAGCTCAATATTTACTTGATATGATACCACAAGCAGCTAAACAGCAACATCATCATCATTCGAAATGAATCTTTTTTCTTTTTGTACAGTTTTTTTTTTTCGTTGTCGCCTAAAGTCATATTTGTGTGTATGTGTTTGTCTATATGAAAAGAAGTCATAAGATGATGACACAAGATCTTCTGTGTTTTTCTTTTGTTTCTCATTTGTTCTATGTGAGTATATTTGTGTGTGCGTGTGTGTAGATTGCAATACGATTTTATCTTCTTTTCCTTTTGTTTGTCGCGACATAACATAAGTTAATTTGGCAAGATCAACATTTTCTATAAAAAAAAAGAATTTTTCTTTTTCTTTTTTGATAACAATTGAATATTTTTTTTTTCAAAAAATTATGAAAAAGATTCAATTAGAGATATGCTCTCATTTTCTCTTTGTTTTTGTTCTTCGTTTTCTTTTCTTTTCTTTTTTGTGTTTTTGTTTTCTTTTTTTGTTTTGTTTTTTGATCTTCAAAATATTTCAATTTGATCTCAATCGTGGCAGTGCCATGAGAATAGATTCTGTTTTCGAAAACAAACAATTGCTTATTTGTGTTGTTGTTTTTCTTTTGTTTTCCTCATTTTTGAAATGGAATATATGAAAAGAAATAAATAACTGTAAGAGAAAAATGTAATATTATAGAACATATGTATTCGATTAGTTTTGTGAATTTAAATTTATATATATATATATATCGATTCAAATTAATCCTCTTGTACGAAAAAGATTAAATCAAATATGATATATCATACAGACAATTCGAAATTTGATTAACATTTATCTTTTATTTTTTACATATTCGAATAATTTATTTGCAAAGAAACTTATAAAAATCAGGTTACAAAAAAAAAGAATTAAAGAAGCGAATAAGAATTGAAGTACGCCAAAAACATCAAGGTCAAAATAATCTCAATATTTATACGGAACTTTTTGTTTTATTATTTTGCCATATGGTCAAGAAAAAACAATTGTGCATAATTTTCGAAAGCTATTGTTTCCTTGTTGAGCAAATCGAGTAGTTTTATTTTACATGTGATAGCTAGTATCCTGGAATCGTGTCTAGCTCGGAGCATAGGTTCGGGTACAAACTCGTCGAATCGGTATGAGTCTGAGTGCACGATCATCTTCGAATGCGATTTGATAATTAATGAAATCTCGATGCTTCAAAATATTTTTACTTTTTCAAGTTGCTACTCACAGAAAAAACATAGGAGTGAAAACCAGAGTTTGTATGGAAGAAACGTAGTAGTATACTTTTGCATATAAAGTAGGAGTTTGAAAACCGTACCGTGATTGTCAATGCATTTGCCAAATGTCGATTAGCTTCGGTGCAAAAACATTGTTCGTATATATCAAAAATTAACATTTCTACAAGTAACTCGACGAGTTCTATCCAACCATGACAAAAAGAAAATGCTAATGAAATTTTGCATTACCAGTACTTTACTAATGTAATACATTCGCTCAGGGTGTCAATAATACTTCTTACATTCGAATATTTCAGACGAAACAATCATAAAAAAGAAATATTATCTTTGCTGAAAAGCTGTTAGTATAATCCCAGTGGAATAATAATGTGAAACATAATGTAGCTTTAGTTGCTAACCACAGGCAGATTGTTTTATTCTATCTATTTTGGAACACATTTGTTCACTATTCTTTTACTTAATCTTTCAGAAATGTAATAAGAAAGTAGTTCATATAGTATAACGAAACGTTATTGATATATGATCTGTGATCGTATATCTACGTCTGTCTCAGTCTGTGGGAAATGCAAATTTTTATCTCTATACTTCAACATTCCTTTTAGATCGTGTTTCCTAGTAATATGCTTTTTTTTGATTGTTAATATATCGTTTTATAGAAAAACAAATTTTACTCCTGGTTTATGTAGATGTTTTATCTTATTCTGAATTTAGAACACAACTCTTAAAGTGTTTTCCATATTTCTTTTCTTGTATATTGGCCATATAACCTACATTCGTTAATTGCATTGTAGTAACACTGAACATGTTTTCTTCTGTTTATTATCTTCGATTCCTCGTTCTATGTTGGACATATTCTAGTCTAAATTGATTAAAAATCAAAGAACATTTTTATTTTCCGGAGCAATAAGAATAAATGTCTTTTATGAAACAGAATTAGAATCGACATAAATAAAAAAAAAGAAATCACTAATTTATTTTCTATTATGTTGAAGAAAGAAAGACATGATCAGTGAGTAAAATAAATTCTGCCTGAAAAACGTCCATCCTCCTAATTTGTTTTAAAATTCAATTAACTATGAAAATTCTCTTATAAGAGAATCAATCGAATTGATACATGTGGTTTGAGCTCATATTTAGCAGACAAAGACGTCTTGGTGAGACTAACAGGAGTTTAAAAAGGTTTCTCTCCATCAGTCTTTTAACCTAAGTTATGATTGTTTTACTGAATTTTGTATCCAGAATTAAGTATTTACCAAATAATCAAAAACTGATATTTCAACGTAAAATTTTGCCCATGAATAGGTCATATAATGAGTAGAATATTCTTAAAGTTTCAGCCAAAAACAATATTTTCTTGTCGAGATATAGAGTTTTCCAAAAAATAGTCGTTTGTCATATATAAGGATTCTAACAATACCATTGCTGATAATAATTTTTTGAAGTAATAAAATAATGCACAAATAAGATAGTAGAAATACTGCTAATCATCAATTAGATTTCCGCTTCGTCGTTAAGCTATTATGACAACGTCAGATTTCATTTTCTCAACATAGATTAATCTCTATATTTATACATTATTGATAGAAGAAATATCAAGCGATGAAATAGCGAAATCCCTTATGTTTCTAGAATTCCTTCGAGCAGATTTTTGTTAAGCTTCAGAGGATTCTTCTCGATTCTATAGAGTCTCTGAATATTTCCAGGAAGCTCTTAAGAACCTATTAAAGGGCGCCATCTGCATCATAACAGCTTTTCATGCTGGTACCTCTTTTTTCTTTTTTGAGTGTACGCGTGGGTGAATTGAAGACTCACATCCACATCTACACCTACCTTCATATATTATATTTATTATTTTGTTACTATTAATAAAATAGTAAGAAACTATTTTCATACTTCGCTAATAAAAAAACAATAAAAACTCTAGTATCATCAAAATAGTAAAAACAAAGTAAATACTAATACAGCGTAATAAGTAATAATAACTATTACCACTTGTCGAATAATAGTAAATAAGAAGTCACAGTAATGTAGTACCCATAGTCACATACAATAGTGAATAAATGTCTCCGCCCTGCATGATCTCAGGCATTATTAATGCTAGAGCTCTGCAAATTTGTGTACACATACTTCGTCAAGATGTAAGACAGAGACATAGCTCTGCTTCGATTGCCAAGAGCCTTCTACGAGTCAACTAACGGTTCATTATACAGCGTTGCATCTCAGCTATCCATGCAACTAATTTCATTGAAGTTCATCAATCCTCTCTAGCACTGTGGTCACTTTACTGTGAGTGCTGATTTAAAGAAAAATTATCTGGTGTCCTTTTGAAACGAAAACGTAGTATTAATCCAGTGAATGAAGTTCAAACTCTTAGAAAAGCTACCTCTACGGTTGGGTATTAATGCTTATAAGTTTCATAAACAAACTATATACTGACAGAAAATGGCATAGCTATGATCATCGTGTTGATGTAACGAAGGATCCAGAAACATCAATATTCAAGGAACTCATCTTTTGAGTAAAGAATGACCATAGACTGAACTTCAGTTCTACTCAAAAAACATCAAGAATTAATCATGTATTTAGTAAAAAGTAATGCAAAACTGAGTAGACAGTCCTTTTTAGATTAAAAAGCTTAATGCAAAAAAAAAAACAGGTATCATCCATTATAATTCTCTTTATACTTAAGTCATTGAAGCGAAACTATGTCTCGGATCTACACTATTGGCCAAGTCATTTTCAAGCTTCTAGCATTTATAATGACTGAGATCCTGTAGGGTGAAAACTTTTGTTCACTATTGCAATGATAATGTCATGAAAATTGAGTTTATCGAAAAATTTCACATCTCGACAAAGGAATATTCTTTTCGGCTGAAACTTTCAAGATATTCCATAGATCATCAAAATAACAGAGATTTAAAAACTATTCTATAACTGAACTTGTTTTGATCGAATAAATAGTTTAAAAGATAACTGTAAAAGTTCATAATACATTTTATTATTTGAATGTAATAAAAGACAACAATTTACTTATTCTTTTCGATTATTCTAATCTGATTAAATTCTACTAATGAATAGAATATTAATTTGAATATAATACAAAAAAAAAAATTTTATCGTTAATAATTCATTTTTTCTTCTATATTGGCGTTCGTAGACGTCATCTATTTTAATCTTTCATAGATGGAGTAATACGTAGAAAACTATTTCTAAATGGTTACCAATTTTTACCATAAAACACGTTATTACTTTTATTCCCTTTCTTGTCCTTATGATATATATTAAAACATTTAATATAGAAATTAATTATTATTATATGATAACAAGTTATTAGTTTTCTTATTTATCTACAAAAGAATATCTTACTTATAGAGTAAATTATAAAAACAAATTGAGTCATTTTTTTCTGTTTTGTTTTTAGATATACATAGATATAGAAAATGTCGTTTATTGAAGGTATTGGTGATGATTTTCTATATGCATTCGGTTTTTTACTTTTTATTGGTATTGTTTCCCTTGCTTGGCTTTCAACACGTGTAAATTATATTCATTTTCCTGCGACATTATTTATTATTGAACGACGAACACGTAGAAACAATGGTAATATATATATATATCTATTTTTTAATAAATAATAATTTATTCATGGATTTTTTTCCTATTAAATTTTAGAAGAAGAATCAGAAAGAGCAAGTTCAATATCACCATCAAGATTAACTCCATCAAATGAACAATCAACATTTCCATCATCTGGAAATGAAATACAAACAGAACATGATTCTGATAATGAGTATGATTAATATATAAGATTTCATAACATTTTTTGT